TTCTTTTAAACTTCCTCGTTGCACACAAGTTCCGTCCTTGGAATTCTAATCTTCAGTAGGGCCCTATATCGATGCCCCAGGCTTCCATTTCTACGCTGAGGAAGTTGTCCAGAAGTGATACTATAGAGCAGGTCCAGTAATAGTTTCTTTTCTTTTTTAACGAGATTTATCAGTTTCTTAATCCTTTGTCCGAAAGCATCATTCGATAAACCATGGTCCTTCAGCTTTGTTTGAAAGTATCATTCACTGTTTCATGGTCCTTCAGCTTTGTTTGAAAGTATCATTCACTGTTTCATGGTCCTTCAGCTTTGTTTGAAAGTATCATTCACTGTTTCATGGTCCTTCAGCTTTGTTTGAAAGTATCATTCACTGTTTCATGGTCCTTCAGCTTTGATTGAAAGTATCATTCACTGTTTCATGGTCCTTCAGCTTTGTTTGAAAGTATCATTCACTGTTTCATGGTCCTTCAGCTTTGTTTGAAAGTATCATTCACTGTTTCATGGTCATTCAGCTTTGTTCAGAAGTATCATTCGCTTTTCTATGGACCTTCAGCTTTGTTTAAAAGTATATATATACTAGTGTACGTAGTTCTGCAGCAGGGGTCTTCTACAAAGCAGAACTTTCTGGCCATCTAGAATCTTATGATGGTAATTAATCCCAAGCAGACAACATTGATAGCTATCTGCAATTACCTAGCGGAAATTTGTCAGATTTGTGACAACGTATCTGTAGCCGGTTTGAAGAATGTTTAACGGCCAGATATACTCGACGATACACACATTTTTTCGCCTGCCTATATGCAGGGAAGCCTACAGAATTCTAGCGTGATTTTTGGGTGATTAGCATAGTGTTCAGTTGAAGATTTGGCCTTGTGCTAGTTAGGAGGAAATTTTTCGTTGTTTTTATAACAACACATTTCTTTAGAAACCGCAAGAACTTTCTTTCCAAATATATATATATATGTGTGTGTGTCTAACACGAAGCAAAAAAATGGATGCACCCATAGAAAGTCGATTTTTGCATTTTTACCAAGACAAGTGAGTAAGAGAATTCGTTTATTAATACAGGTGTACATATGTACATTAAACAAGTCAAAAAATGATTTAGTAACGATAACAACCCTAGACATGCTGCCTTAAAGAATAAATGTTATCTTGAGAGGGAGGGAGACGAGGGTAAATTGCAACTATTCCAGTCAGAACCTTTTCCTTAACCCAAATGAAAACCTTTGGGCGATAATGGACAAGCGTGCCCATACTAGAAAAATTAACAAAGAAAATGAGCTTTTTCGCGAATTAAAGAAATGTTGGAAAAATAAGGACGTTGACTTACTAAGGAATTTAGTCTATAGCACGCTATGAAGAATTAAGGCCGTTATAAAAGCAAGAAGTTACCCAACAAAATTAATTCATTTTTTGACTTGTATAATGTACATATGTATTGATACCCTGTATTAATAAACGATTTCTATAAGTCTTGGCCTTAGTATAAATACAAAAGTCGACTTTTTATGGGTGCATCCATTTTTTTTGCCTCGTACTCTCTCTCTCTCTCTCTCTCTCTCTCTCTCTATATATATATATATATATATATATATATATATATATATGATTCATGTATGGTAAACATATAAGACAATTTGGAAAATTAGTTTACTTTGACATATTTCGATGCTAATTTGGTGTTTTCACCCGAGGAATTTTATTTTATAAGATCTCAATCTATATCGGTGAGATGAAACAATGCAAATCTGTGCATCCGTATATATGCGTATATACTCAAGGCCGGGGAATAAACCGCGAATTAAGAGCGGGTTCTTTAAAACCTTTAAAAGAAATTCAAAATCTGTATCTTCAATTTAAAGGTGGGATATTTTTTCCAGAAGTTTGAAAAAAAAATAGGCATGGATTGTTTGGGGTCATGGAATTTTAATAAACAGTTTTTTCAGTATTCCAAAAAGTGTGTGTGTGTCTGTTTGTATGTATATGTGTACGTGAAAGACGTATTAATAGAAGGGTACAGCGAAAGAACATGCAACTTAGCGTGAAGAGATGACAGCGCCGGGACCAGAGGGTATGTCAAATATTGCTTAGGGCCAAGATGTTGCGGAATGCGCCGATCGCGCAACCCATGAAGAGATACGGCACGGAAATATGCGCTCATGGGGAGGGACGATTATTTTTCTCCCTGCAACCTTTTTCTGACAGACGAAAAATTGCTAACCTCTTGTTAATCTATTGCTATTAGCTTTGGAAATGCTCAAAGGAGCTACATTGCTTCGTTCCACCAGTTCAGACCTTCACACCTAGGACCCACCATGCCCCGTCCAAATCGTTGACTCACCCTTATTCCTTTCATATGCCTTTGGTAAGGAGATTATTTCACTTTGGGTAACGGGTTTGCAAGAGAAGCTTCCCCGACTATTATAATTTCAACTTCTGCTTCTTTATTTCTTTTTACGGATTATCAACCCTTTGCAATTTATGTAAAGACAGAAATTATGTATGAAACTGAGCAGATACGAACATTTCAAGAACGTCTATGACAAGAGGAATTTCGCGTAAAGGCACAGGGTGATGCAGTTTCAAAGCCCTACTAGAGAGAACATATTTTCCTTTAAGAAGATTTTTTGACTATTCAGGCCGGTAGATGAAAATAAATAGATATACTGTTTAATAAATAAAAGGAGCATCTACTCAAATTTGAATATCCACTAATGCTAGAGTAACCATCCAGTCCATATTGTGCACACTCTGTCTCAGGAACATTTCTGTTTATTTACCAACCGCAGAGCTCACATGTAGTTTATACTGCAACTATGCTATTCTAAGAATGATTTGGAGATAAGGAGTTTCAAATGGGCGTAGAGCACAATACACCGGCTGAAACTGCAACATACCTAAAAAAGAAAGCAAAGACGAATGCAACCGACCAGATACAGAAGCGATGGCAAGATAAACCGCTTCATAACCAATACTCTGCCTGTACCAAACAAGCTGACGTAGACAAAACCCGTACCCATCAGTGGCTACGTAGTGCAGGGTTGAAAGCGGAAACTGAAGGTTTTATTCTTGCTGCGCAGGACCAATGCTTGCTAACTAGGAATTATCAAGCACATATACTAAAATATTGTGTCAGCCCAAAATGCAGATTCTGTGATAAATATCCAGAAACGATTGATCATCTTGTATCAGGTTGTATGGTGTTGGCACCCACTGAATATAAAACCCGACATGACAGAGTGGGCCAATATCTGCACTGGAAAATCTACAACTTTTACGGGAAGGAAACTGAAAGAAAATGGTATGAACACCACCCAGATCCGGTTACGGAGATATGACCTGTTACAATTCTATGGGATTACACAATACACACTGACAGAACAATCAAGGCCAACCGGCCAGATATTGTTATTAAAGACCACAAACAAAAACGGTGCCTCCTTATTGATATGGCAGTCCCTGCTGACTGCAATGTATCTTTGAAGATATTCAAAAAGTTGTCAAAGTACAAGAACCCTGAAATAGAAATCTCGAAAATGTGGAATATGGGAACATCAACAATCCCTGTTGTAGTTGGAGCCTTAGGACTGGTTGGAAAAGATTGCAGTAGACTAATTGAAGGGATTCCTGGAAGTCCATGCCTCAAGGAGATACACAAAATTGTTCTGACAAGTACAGCCCACACCTTACGAAGGGCTTTATCTATGTAATTTAATTTTTTTGTCAGTGGTGGAAAGTGTCATGACGCCATTTCTAACCTTAGGTCCCTGGGCAGGGACCCGGAAAGAAATGTGTAAAACGCCAGAAATCAAAGAAAATAATAATAATAATAATAATAATAATAATAATTTACTGATACAAGTGATACTATTTAACCCATAGCTAGGGGTATGAGAGGTCGATTAATACCTTCCCCAAGCGTGTTCGCGCATAACTGAATATAACAAAGCTGGGGCACCTCGGCGTGTGTAATGGTTAGCAAACAATTACATTTGAATAGTGAATTCGATCCTCATTGGGCGACCCATACTTGGTGTAAGGGTTAACAAGCTTGTCTCGCTAGATCAGTTACGACTGAAAAGTGAGTTCGATCCTCACTAGGTTCCCCATACTTTCGGCCTTGTGCCACATCTAAGCTACGCTTGGAAAAATCGCTATAACAAATCCGACTGGAATCGGAACTTGGCTCTCCAACTTTCCAACACGATTACACCACCCGCATATCCAACCTTTCAACTCCTGGTATTCTCACTATTTATCCTCATAATAAACCTCTTCCTCCCCACTTCACTTGCTTACAGCAATCTCATTTTGTAAACTTTTAGCTTGAGTGGACCTTGGGCCATGCATTGCATGATTAATGATGTGAAAAATGAAGATAACTCCAACTCGATAATTGCATTATTTAAATTATCTTCACTTGAAGAAAGCCGGAGCGTAGGACGGATGAAACGTTGTGAATATGGCAATGAAGATGAGGATAACAGTTCGAATAATGTAAATAATGCAAATAATCATAATACGTCATCTCAGAGATATAGAGGCTGAAACGTTGTGAATATGGCAATGAAGATGAGGATAACAGTTCGAATAATGTAAATAATGCAAATAATCATAATACGTCATCTCAGAGATATAGAGGCTGAAACGTTGTGAATATGGCAATGAAGATGAGGATAACAGTTCGAATAATGTAAATAATGCAAATAATCATAATACGTCATCTCAGAGATATAGAGGCCGAAACGTTGTGAATATAGCAATTAAAATGAGGATAACAGCCCGAATAAGGTAAATAATGCAAGTAATCTTAATACCTCATCTCAGAGATATAGAGGCCGAGACGTTGTGAACATGGTAATGAAGATGAGGATAACAGTTCGAGTAATGCAAATAATGCTAGCAACCTCATCTCGGAGATATAGACAAAACTCAAAAATTGTCGTAACCAACTAAAATCATTTAGTTCTAGTTTCTTTTTCTTTAATCTGAGTCCTGATGTTAAAAAAATATTATTTTATTTGCTGGCAAAAGCCTGATGTAAAATTGCCAAGATTCGTTCTTTTACAAGTGCCACACGACCTTCTATTCTTTTGGCAACCATATAAATTCCTAATCGATCAGTAAGAAAATAAAAGAGACAACAATAGTTAAATGATCATACGAAAACGTACTTTTGAAAACAAGCCGGGAGAAGTGTCGGAATTAGACGGTTTACTGGCATCTCACCAGAAACGAAATTCACATCTTTTCCCGTTTCTTCTTTACGAGAGCTCAGAGTCTGAAAGAATCTGCGGTTAGGACGAGTCGTCGCTTGACAAGGATTCAATATGGGTTCATAAAAGTGTCATGATATTTCAAAGAGTTTTTTTTTCTTAAGTACTTGTAATCATTTTTAAGTAGTGTACAAAATTCTTGGGTCTAAATCATTTTAATCTTTATTGGACATAAAAGTTAATAAAAGAAATGAATAAGATCTTTGTGGGGCACTTATTATAACATGGATTCAATAATTGTGGGATTGCTTAAACAACTCTCACATCGCCAAAATAGACCAAAGTAATCGATATCATAGTTATCATTAATCATTTCACCCCAAGCAAGGCAATAAAGCTACTAAGGTTACAGAGATGGAGAGAGCGCAGTAAAAGAACAGGAAGCCATAAGGTAACGATTAACAGTGGATTAAAATTTTTGGAGATCAAAGTTGACTATAAATCAGCAGATAGGTAGAGAAATCCACAATGGAGAATTCGAGAGAAGAATCTATTAGCATAGAACTTACGTTTACATCTAGCATTTTCAACTGTAAGCTAGTGAGTCCTGGCCGTAAGAATCCATAAATTTAATCCATAGCTGGGGTAACAAGAGATGGAATGGTATGTATCCATCTCTTATGGAGTATTGCTGCCATATATGGTCTGGTGCCCCCTCTGTTTTTCTCAAGGTTCTTGATAAGATCCAGAGACCGATATGCAATTTAATTGGCCCTGATCTGGCATCTCGTCTGCAGTCGCTCTCTCATAGACGTGCCTTCGCCTCCCTCTGTCTTTTTTACAAATACTTTCACGGTAACTGCTCCGATGAGCTGCTTTCGCTGGTTCTCAGACTTCATGAATTTAAGCGTTTAACTAGGCTGGCATCTCGCTCACACGCTTTCACTGTCGAAACTGTTAAATGTAGCCGTCTCTTCTACTCCAATAGCTTCATGTCTCGCACCTCTCGCCTGTGGAAATCCCTCCCCTTTTCCTGTTTCCCTGATAGCTCTAATCTCCAACTATTCAAATGTAATGTCAATTAACATCTCCAGATGCCTTGATCTATCCCCTATCCCTCTCTTCATCCTTTCCTCTATCACTCCTATTTGCTCTAGTTCTAACTCTCTGTAACCCCTTGTGTGCTAGTGGCTTCCCGCCTTGCTTGGAGTGAAACGCTTAAAAAAAAAAATTGAATAGTAGTGTGTTTGCTAGACTTAGTGGGCAACCAATCTAGAAAAAAAAAAAACCTCTCAATTCAAAATTATATAGTGACCTAACGAAAGGATCGAGAGGTTAATAATGACTCTATAATCCCGACAGATATCAATCGGGGTCGGGGTGGGGTTTGGATAGAAGATTCTTATCGGCACTAAAGGCTAAAAGAAACAATAATCTACGTGCGGATTTTAGTTAGATACTAACACCTGAAGATAAGGCGTCTTTAATATTCACCTCAGCAGACATTTCAGGAAGAGGTAATTAAAATTCTTAAGGCACATAATGAGGAAAGTAGGCTTGGAAAATCTGATACTCACAGGACAGATTGAAGGCCAGAAGGAGAGATGAAAACGACACATAGCATACCTAGTGGGCGTGAGTAAATCGATGGCGGGTAAAGTTTTAGGTGAAATAACAAAAAGACAACATTTAATAAAAGTTACCAAAGACAGGAAATTGTGGAGAGCTATAAATAACCAACGTTCTAAAGGGACACAACACATAGAACAAGACGAAGAGTTCCAATTCCAGTCGGGTTCGTTACAGTCACTTACACGCAAATATCCTTGGGTAGGTATTAATCCACCATTGTCCCCCCAGTTATGGGTTAATTATTAGTGAGCTTGAGTAAATGGATAGCGGGACACGATTAAGAGAAATAGCAAAAAGTAAAATTTATTAAGAGCTAGTAAGGACAGGAAATTGGGGAGAGCCATGATCTCTTACGTGGTGAAGAGACATGACACATAGAGGAAGAAGAAGACTTAGCATAGGACTGACTATGTTTAATTTATCAGGAAAGTATAACGTCGACTCTGCTCTCATTTTGTCGATCTGCCGTTTCCTGTCCCGGCCGTATTTCTAAAATGGTATTCGTGGCGTTGTCATTTGTTTGTATATCTTCCTAACCATCACATGCCAACATCAAAAAGCTGGGTGGCAACCAGATTATACTAGGATTTCGCCCAGTAGTCGTTGTTATTCTGTGGAGATTTCAGTTGTGAAATTTGGAAAACCAGTTTCACACTAAAAACCAACAAACGCTTGGTAACTATCAACGGAGTAGCTTTTAATAAATTTTGTGTATTTGCTATTTCTCATAAACTTTGTTCCGCCATCCATTTACTCAAGCTCACGAAGGATGTTAAGCATTGTTTTCCTCTGTCCCACTTGCCTTCAATCTTTCCTGTGAGTATCAGATTTTCTAAGCCCTTTTTCCTCATTATCCGCCCTAGAAATTTTAACTGTCTCTTCAACTGTTAAGTATAATTTTTTTTTGTTTCCGTTTTCTATAAAACTTCGTCAGTTCTCACATCCTGAGCATCGTTGTGTTTAACCACATTTCTGTTGCTTCAAGTATTTTCTTCATTGTTGAGAAGATGGCATCCACTGCCATACAGAAGAACATATCTCACGTAACAGTTCAGTACTCTTACTTGTTGAGTTCAATTAATGGCTTGGGTAATGCAGAAATATTATATACAGGGTGTCCATAAAGTTTGTGTACACTTTAAAAATTTCTAACTTTATTTGTATTTGCGATAGAAATAATTTGTACAAAATTTAATGTACCTAGTTTTAAGTATAGCTAAAATAACTAATGTGATTTCAGGCATTACTGCAAATCAGTTGGCAAATGTTTTCCGTGAACTGCAAAATCGTATTACCCTATGTATTGCTAATGATGGAGGACATGTGGAAACTTAAATAAAATGTTAATAAAACCTTAAAAGATATAGATTTACTTCTTTCTAATCCTTTTTACAAATTATTTATAATGTAAATACAAATAAAGTTATAGAATTTTTAAAGTAAACACGAATTTTATGGACGCACTCTATATATTGTCATCCACAGTCTTACTGTTTCACCGTATCACAGATCATCAGTGTGACTAGATGTTCTGTTGCCTCTAGCTAGGATCGAAACGCGAATGAATTGGCGTCAGTCGGGGATTCTATCACTACCACGGTTGGCGGACGGCAGGGATGAAGGTGAATTTAAGCGTATTTATTTTTAAACACACAGTGACTGATATTGTATTTTTACTCTAGATTACACGCTTTGTTACAAACTAATATCCATACAACTGAACAACAGCTCTATCATAGATATTGAGCACTTTCCACTAAGTACCGCGCATATAATATATATATATATATATATATATATATATATATATATATATATATATAAGCATTTCACCCCAAGCAAGGCGGGAATCCACAAGGACGCAAGGGGTTACAGAAGATTTGGAACAAGATCAGATATGAGTGATAGAGGAAAGGATGAGGAGGAGGATAGTGGATAGATCAAGGCAACTGGAGATGTCGATTGACATTACATTTGAATAGCTGGAGATTATAGCTCGCAGGGAAACTGGAATAGGGATGGGAGTTCCACGGGCAAGAGGTGCGAGACATGAAGCTATTCGTGTAGAAGAGACGGCTACATTTAGTAGTTTCGACAGTGAAAGGATGAGAGCGGGAGGCCAGCCTCATAGGGCGCTTGAACTCATGAAGTCTGGGAACCAGCGAATGCAGCTCCTCGGAGCAATTGCCATGAAAGTATTTGAAATTAACTTAAGCATTAAGATTCATCAGAATATTAAAATAGGAATACAGGGAAATTTTCACCGATCTTTCTAGTAAAATACACTTTCGTTAAATTAGATTTAATAATGTGTTAAATGTGATGAAAACAGTCTAAACCTATTTTTATTGAGTCTATTAGTGTAGAAACATATCCCTACTCAGAAAATAAATTTTTCACACATAAATTACTGGATAACAATTTTTATAATTATATATATATATTTAAAGATATGATTTGTGGTACAAAATTTTATGACCGCTATGAAAAGACATTTATTTTTATTAACATTCATGATGGTAATAAATAAAAAGCAAAACTAAAAAGTAAAACTGAATTCAATAAAGTTAAACTTGCTATAGTACGAAGATGTCATGTGTACCTGCGCCTGCCTTGGCTGGGTAACATCAGTGATAGATATGCTAAGCGGGTTTCCTTAGCAGTTCGACATTGTTACTTTGCTGCTAACACTCGTGTGGTTTTTTCTGCCAAGCCTGCTTTTCCGTCCATGCCGAAAGACGTTCTCCCTCCACATCATAATAGTTCTTTAATTTATTCTTTTAAATGTAGTTGTGGCTCACACTATATAGGGAGAACGACTCAAAGGCTGGATGTCAGAATGAAGCAACACGTTCCAATGAAAAACCGCAATCTTAAGTAGACTCCTTCAGTTATTCTGACCAATACATACGGGTCTTCCATCGCAGAGCACCTAATAAATAGCCATAATTGTGCTACTAGTTTCAGTGTGGACTGATTTACTATTCTTAGCAAGTCCCACTCGAATTATCACTTAAAAGTGTTGGAGGCCATTTATATTTTATCGTTGAAGCCTTCTCTGTGTAAATAGACGCACTTCGTACTGGGCCTCCAACTAATTTTCATCTAAGCAATTCCCCTTCAATACATATTGTCCATCTCTTTTTAGCGATAATTCTATTTAATTTATTAATCTCGATTTAGCTATGTTGAGCGAGGTTCGAAACCGGTTAGCCTGGTCGTTTTTCACTTTTACTTTTTATCTAATATCATCATCAGTGGTAATAAAATAAATTTTGTCTTTTCATTGCTGTCACACACACACACACACACACACACACACACACACATATATATATATATATATATTTCATTGCTCGTTTTCAACGTGAGCAACTAAGCAGTGATATTGCATCTTGATATTTCTTTTCTTGCGCTCGTGTCATTTTAATCGAAGCTTAGTCGAACCAGCGCGGAAAGCGTAGGATAAAAACTTAATGTCGAAAGACGGAAGGACTTCACTAGAGGATACAGAATATAGTGGGAGACACGGAGGATAAAAGCAACGTGTTGGAATTTCTTTAATGCCTGCCGACGTTTTGCAAACACGGCTATTAGTCTTTCGTAAAAGGGTGAGCCTCGAGTCATTGTGCTTCCGGAAGAGTTTCAATACTTTGAATTCATTTCAATTTAAGATCAAGGGAGAGAGAGAGAGAGAGAGAGAGAGAGAGAGAGGGAGTGGCGGAAGAGCGGCGAAAAACGGTATTTAATTGTGATCACGTGACAGTCGAAATCCGCGCAGAGCGCCGAAATGCCCGGATGTTGGCGCCGAGCAGGATCAAAAGAAATTCGAAACGAAGCGTCACTTCCGGCCACAGGGAATTTTCGGCCCCTTGTGTAATCGAGTTGTTCTTGTGAAAATCAAAGAAAGCGGAAGAAGTGTTAAGAGGCTTTGCTTAAATATTCTGTCGAAACTTTCCGATTATCTTGGCGGGAAAGAGTTCGTTTCCACTCAGTTGCGAAACAAACTTTAAAATACATACTTTCTTTCTTTCTTTCTTTCTTTCCTTCCTTCCTTCCTTCCTTCTTTCTTTCTTTCTTTTCTTCCTTCTTTCTTTCTTTCTTTCTGTTTCCGTCTTTTTTATTAACCCAATCTATTTTTTCTTTAGTTGTTTCCTTCATACTTTTTTACTTCTTAACATTTTTTTTTGCATTTACCCTTCAATTTGTCTTTTGCATTTTCTCTTTGTTTATTTCTTTTTTTCCTTTCTCCTGACATTCGTCATATTGTCTCACGTTTCTTTCTTTCTTTCTTTCTTTCTTTCTTTCTTTCTTTAAGATTGTTCTTACTTTTCCTTTCGCCCGTTCGTCCTTTCTATCTTTTTTCTTTATAATAATTCCTTCTTTCTTTCTTTCTTTCTTTCTTTCTTTCTTTCTTTCTTTCAATCATTTCTTCTTTCGCTTTCGTCCTTTTTTTCTTTCTTACGATCATTCTTCCTTTACTTTCGTCTTTTACTTCATTTTCATTTTTTTCTTTGTTTCTTCCTTACGATTTATCCTCCTTTCTCTGTTCTCTCTTTCTTTCTTTCTTTCTTTTATTCATTCTTAGTTGACCATTCTAATTTCGCTCTCGGAATAATTATCATTATTACCTTCTCTTAATCCATGCCAAATTCTTGCATTGTCCTCCTGAAGCTGGAGACCAATTTAATTGGTCAACGTTCATTTAAAGAAACGCACAAATAAAACCACTACTGCAACAACAACAATAACATTAATAATAATAATAATAAATGTAAATGAAATTCCATCAATCAAGAAAATATTTAAACAGAAACTGCAATTTAAAATTAAGATGTGGGTTCTATAGACAAAATAAAATATTCTAAACAAACCTCCAGAACATTTACAGGGAAAATGGATAATAAGTTATAGAAGTAAAAAAGCCACCATCTATTGAAGAATTGCAAAACATTTTGGAAGTCTCTTTGGAGAAATCCAAAGGAATATGATTCCAATGCAGAGTGGATCAAGCGAGTACAAGAAAGAATGAAAGAAAAACCTGTGAAAGAATGGGAAAATATAATCAATAATAATAATAGGCAAACTCTAACAAAATCCCACAAATGGAAATGCCCAGGAAATGACAATATATACAACTTTTGGCTCTATTATCTGTCATCAATTCATAAAACTATTGTACAAATTTTATCAACGCTTATTAATAAGCCCAATGGAATTCCAGAATGGGTCACTGAATATATTACATATTTCCTACAAAAGGATGAAACAGATGATCCAAAAAATTATAGGCCAATAACATGTCTGTCCACCACATATAAATTGATAACGGCTGTCCTAGTGAATTGTAGTTACTCTTTTCTCGATGAAAACAACATTCTTCCCCTGGAACAGAAGAGATGTTGAAGATATTCATATGGTTGTAAAGATCAACTACAAATAAATAAAATGGTCCTGGAGAAAAGGGTTGCATGTGACACAAGGCCGGGTTTAACGTGGGTTCTCCAAGCCCGTAGGCTCGACTAAAAATATTCCCTTTCAACCCGTATAAACGGATTCAGGGTCAGTTAACTTCCCCGAACGAGACTCTGCCCTTCGGCGGAGCCTCGTCCTGGTTCCTCTCTGCCTTCGGGCAGAGAGTTCGACTGTTTACCCGAAAAAGATTTCGGCTAGTATATTTAGCGAACCTCACCTCGAGGGTTGCATGTGGCATAAGGCCGGGTTTAACGAGGGATCTCCGAGCCCGTAGGCTCGGCCCAAAATATGTCTTTTCGAACCCGTATAAACAGGTTCAGGGTCAGTCGACCTCCCCGAACGAGACTCTGTCCATCGTCGGAGCCTCGTCATTGTTCCTCTCTTCCCAGAGGCAGAGAGTTCGACTGCATAGCTGAAAAGGATTTCGGCTAGTATATTTAGCCACTGCCCCGCGAGGTTTGCATGTGGCACAAGGCCGGGTTTAACGTGGGTTCTACAAGCCCGTAGGATCGACTAAAAATATTCCCTTTCGAACTCGTATAAACGGGTCCAGGGTCAGTCAACCTCCCCGAACGAGACT